TGGGATGAGAGCATTGCTGTGGACCTCCTCAGAGCAGAGTCCTCAGTGGGGGGGACACAGGTGTGACCCCTGTGCTGTGGTGGGGCCAGCAGTGATAGAGCTCCAGAGAGCCAGAAAAGGGGATGTGGGACTGGGATGGAGGGAGATGTGGGGGACAGGGGACTTCTGAGGTGAGCAGGGGTGCAGGGAGATGGAAGGGAAGCACACAGGATGTGAGGAAACACCTTTCATTGCACCTGGACACCACGGCCAGGGTCGGGGGGGATCCTTGGAACGGGACACAGGGACCCTCAGAGCAGGGTACAGTCATCCTTACGCGTCACCTTGGAAGTGGCCTGGATGATCCCAAATTTCTTCTGGCTATAGGGGGGGTAGCGAGGGGCATTGAGGGGCTCCCGGCCCATCCCACGCTTCAGGCAGCCACGGCAGTGGGAGAAGGTGTCGAAGGTGAACTTCCCGTGGTACATTCCCAGGCCGCTGTTCCCTGGAATACACAGCACAGGACCCTGGGGGGTGGCTGGATCTGGCCATCGTTTGGGTCACAAAGAACCCCACAGTTAAGCTCCCAGCTCCATAAAAATGGCACCCCATCTTCATCCAGCTGCTTTCCAAGCCATGGATGAACTTCCCAGGCATGTGACCGAAATCGGACCATCAAGGTAACCCAGTGCACGCCCAAATGGATGTCTGGAGTGGGAAGATCAGGCTGGGAGGTGGAAAGATTCCCAAAAACCCTCTCATCAGTGGATTTCACGCTTTCAGGTAACACATTTAGCAACTGTAAGGGCATCACTGATGAGTTGGTGGCAGCAGCAAGATGCTCTCACCACATGAGCTTCCCTACCACAGGAATACCCTCCAAAACACATCCCATCCATGCTGGATCTAGCCCTGGATCCAGCCCATGCTGCAAAGACTGGGGGTGGAGAGGGACAATGGTCAAGGTGGCTTTAGCAAGGTGGGACCCATCTCCAAGGAACAACGTTGAGAGGTGGAAGGTGACCAGCCAGGAACAAGCACGGGGAAGGCAGGCAGGTTGCCAAAAAATAAGGAAATCCCCCTGTGTGTTGATAAGGGATATGATAAAATTTCATGGGTCATCCCGAGCTGGGATTGGAAGGGACCTTAAAGATTGTCCAGTTCCAACCCCTCTGCCATGGGCAGGGACACCTTCCACTAGATTGTGTTGCTCCAAGCCCCAATTCCCAATGTTTTAAGCAAGACATTTCCATGGACACAGGGAACAGAGAGGTTGGGATAGGAAAAACAGAGAGAAGGAACCTCAGGGTGCTCCACGTGTGTCCAGCAAAGCCAAAGAGCCCAAGGTGAAGCAAATGGCTCCAGGAGGAGAATTTCCCTATGGACCACTGAGCCCTCTGGAGCAGAGAGTTCCCCTTGAGACCCTTCCTGACCATGGGTGGGATCACACCTGGCTCCTGATGGCCAGGCCTGAGGGCTCTGGACATACCAATCCCTCCGAAGGGCAGCGAGGTCAGCGTCACGTGCATCAGGGTGTCGTTGCCACAGAAGCCGCCGCTGCTCGTCCGCTCCAGGACCTGGTTCACCACCTGGGAGGGAGCAGAGAAGGGGGGAAGTGGGTCTCCAACCTCACTCTCGCACCTCCAGCTGCAATCCATCCCCCCTAACCAGGGCTGTGTGCTCCCAGGAAAATATCTGGAGCTCAGACATGGCTGGACACGCCTGCCAAGGAGCACAGGGCGGGTGCAGTCCTGGTGTCACTCTACCTTGTCACTGGAGGAGAATGCGTAGATGGCCAAGGGCCGCTCACGGCTGTTGATGAAGTCAATGGCTTCATCCATGTTGGCCACGACGACGATGGGCAGGATGGGCCCGAAGATCTCCTCCTGCATGACAGGGTCCGAGGGCTGCACATCCACCAGGACTGTGGGAGCTGCGGAGAAGAAACCCGACGGCACCAGCCGGGCACAGAGGTCAGAGATGACACCTTGGACCTCTTGCCAAGGCCCAGCTCCTCTATGTTAGGACACCCCGCCAAGCACCCAAATCCTGTGGAAACCTTCTCCACACGCCATATCCGCTCCACACACGGACAAAGACGTGCGTGAGGCCCAAGCCCTCACCGATGTAGCGCTCGGCCTCGTCCGTCTGTCCCCCGATGGCCACGCGCCCGCTGCACAGCAGCTTCCGCACCCGCTGGAACTGCTTGTCCCCCACAATGCGCCCAAAATCCGGGGATTCCTGGGGGTTGGGGCCGTAAAACTCCGTGATGGCCTCGCGCAGGGCGGGGAGCAGCTTCCCTTGCATCTCCAGGCTGCAGAGCAGGTAGTCGGGCGCGATGCAGGTCTGCCCCGCGTTGAAGAAGCGGCCCCAGACCACGCGCCGAGCCACGTTGGGTATGTCGCAGGTGTCGGACACGTAGCAGGGGTTCTTGCCCCCCAGCTCCAGCGTCACCGGCGTCAGGTGCTTGGCAGCGGCCGTCATCACGATCCGCCCCACCGGGGGGCTGCCTGTGGGCACGGAAAACGGGGGGGATGGGACAAACCCACCAGCCATCGCACACCTCTGCCATGGGGCACCCTGGGGCCAGAGCACACACACTGAGTCCCACCAGACCACAGACACACGCCCCAGATCCTCCAACACATCCTGGCACCACAACCCCAAGCCAATCTCTGCCTTTTAGCAGGTGTGTCCGGAGGGAATCCCTCTTCCCCCTCACACCAAAGCCAGGCAGGGCTCTGCTCTGTCCCACAGGATCACCTGTGTAGAAGATGTAATCGAACTTGTTCTCCAGCAGCCTTGTGGTCTCCTGCACACCCCCAGTTACCACAGCAAAGCAGTCCTGCAGGAGAACAGAACAGGTCCCCTCCTGTCACCATCTGTCCTCTCCAACAACATCGTGGGATGCTGGGACACTCACTGGGCATGGAGGAAGGAGGCTGGGCAGCTCATGGCACAAGGGATAGTGTACGGGTGGGCACAGGGCACAGCTCTGAGTGTGCAGGGGTAGGAACACCCCAGCCACGAGACAGGGATAGAGAGAGTATCTCACCTTGTCCAGGTAGCAGGGCAGCACTTCTGCCACGAGTCTCTCGGTGTTCTTGGATATTTCTGAGGGCTTGATGATGACACAGTTCCCTGGGGGAGATCGAGAGGGTGCTGGAGCAGTGACATGGTAACAGACAGCCCTTCTGGGGACGAAGTGCCTTTGCCAGTGCTTGGGACCGCCCCGATCCTCTGGGCCAGGGGACTGTAAGGTGGGGCTCACCAGCAGCGATGGCCCCGATGAGGGGCCCCAGGATGAGGTAGATGGGGTAGTTCCAGGGCGCTATGATGAGCACCACCCCGTATGGCTCCTTGCGGATGAAGGCCGAATCCAACCGGGTCGCCTGCAGGACACCCACCACAACAGGTCCCATCCTGCACCACCATCCCACCCGGCTCTGCCTCCCGTCCTCTCCCTCTGCTTCCCTCTCACCAGAGGCCTGTCCACGTGCTTGTCCTTCATCCAGTGGGACAGGTTGTTCAGGGTCTCGCGGAGCTCATTCTTGCACAGGAGTGTCTCGGATAATTCAACTTCAAAGGGCGGCTGGGGACACCGAGGACCTGACATGTCACCTCAGCGTGTCCCGCAGCACAGGGCAGCTCATATCCTCACACTCCACATTGTTTTCCCCAGGATCTGGGGACTGAAGCCCTGGAGCCTCCAAATCCCATGGTGAATGGGCACCCCCAAAGGTGCTGAGCAACCCCCTGTGTCTGTGGCATGAAGTTTTTAAGCACGGACTGCTTAAAAAAACCCAGGAAAACTGACGCAGGTCCCATTGATCCAAACAGCAGGAAGGATGGGGAGGGAAGGTGTCCAAAGGTTGGAGAGCAGCAGACAATGAGCCCTGTGTGGTGGTGGAGGCTCCAGCAGCAGAGCCACAGAGTGCAGCCACAGAGGCCAGGCT